TATGTTGTCTTGCCTCAACCAGAAATATTGGATTCCTGCTGCTGGCTCTGTGATCAGAAGGATACTGACTAGATGTGTTGTGTGCAGAAGACAGCGAGGGAAGGTTCTTGAGCAAAAGATGGCGGACTTGCCAGTTGACCGGCTTATTTCAGATGAGCCCCCCTTTTCAAGAGTTGGAATTGATTATTTTGGACCGTTGGAAGTGAAAAGGGGTCGGAGTGTCGTAAAGAGATATGGGGTGCTATTCACATGTCTTACTGTGAGAGCAGTGCACCTTGAGATGGCAGATTCCCTTGACACAAGCTCTTGCATTAATGCTATCAGACGCTTCATTGCACGCAGGGGAAATGTGAGAGAAATTAGATCTGATAACGGCACTAATTTGGTTGGAGCAGAGAGAGAACTGAGGACCGAAATACAAAGTTGGAACCAGGCTCAGATACATGATACATTGTTGCAGAAGAATATCAAATGGACATTCAATCCACCCGCAGCTAGTCATCATGGAGGGGTGTGGGAACGCCAGATCCGAACTGTGAGGAAGCTGCTGTGTTCCTTGGTTAAGCAGCAAACCCTGAATGATGATTCATTGCATACACTCTTCTGTGAGATTGAAAGCATCATGAACAGCCGGCCAATCACTGAGGTGTCCAGTGATGTAAATGATGTGGAAGCCTTAACTCCGAATCATCTGCTTCTACTCAATGCAAAATCACCACTGCCTCCCACAACTACCAGTGAAGCAGACAACTATGCCAGGAGGAGATGGCGCCAGGTGCAGCTTTTAGCGGATACCTTTTGGTCGAGATGGGTGAAGGAGTACTTACCACGGTTGCAAGAGCGGCAGAAATGGGCTACTTCACGACGCAATATTCAGGTCGGCGATCTAGTTTTGGTAGTTGATGAGCACGCACCACGTAACTGCTGGCAGATAGGAAGAGTGCTTCGAACCATGCCAGACCGAGAAGGCAACGTTCGGCAATGCGAAGTGAAGACGCAAACTAGCACACTTCGAAGACCTATCGCTAAGCTCTGTTTGCTCCTGGAAGTGGATTCCTGAGATTTTATGTGTTAAATCGCGTTAAGGTGATATCATAATAATGGATCATGGTTCATTGGATGGCACATGGATCTGCAATATTTGTGGTGTAATTTAAAATAAGTGTTAGAAGTGCGAGCCTAGCAACGCCTCCCCTTTATGATATATTAGTGGACCGCTGTTTATTGGATGGATTCAGTCACTCGCCGTAAGTTTAGTAATTTAGCGGTCTTCGTTATCGCGGTCTTACATCGCAAAGGATTTCTTCTGACACAAAAGGGAGAACTGACCATACCGAGATTGAACGCTTTCGCAAAGAAACATTAACATTCAGATTGATAAACACTATAAGAGTGAAATTTGATACATCGAACAATGACAATCAGAAAAAGGATTGTTGGAGATATATCCCATGGAAGGACTGATAGTTGAATATTTAAATATTAATCCATGCATGAAATATGTTTTATAATATGTATACATAAGATATTGGTAGAAATACATGCAACTCCTGTTGTTTCCCTTTTTTTGTGCATTGAGGCCAAATATCAGATTTGGGGTTATAAAAGAAAAAAAACAAAAAAACAAAAAACAAACAAACAAATAAAACATGACAAGGGTTGCAGTTATTTCACATGTGCAGAAATTTCTATGTTATGTTTATATGCAGGTTGTATCTGCTTGACAACATAATCCATATGGTGACATATGGAGACTAAAAAGGAATTTTCATCAAGAGTAGTTAAATCCTAAAATGTATCCAAAGCTACTGTTTGTATTAGGAGTAAAGGGAAAGGAAAATTTGTCTGAAATTTCAAAGATATGTATATATGTTAATATAAACTTGATACAGTTTGGAGAAAATGATTAAGTACAGCCAGTGAAGATTTAGAAAATGTTATTATCAGTTACATACACGATGGAAGTTATTTGCATAAGAAATACCTTTACCGTAGATGAAAGGGTTTGATTTATATGTGTATAAATAGTGGAGTACGTTTTATTTTTACATTTATGTGCTTTTTCATAGTATGTTAACAGATTTAAATGGGATGTTTGTGTTATTAACCGAAATACAATTTCTATGAAAGGGTTGTATGATAGGATAAGTTATGTAAATGTTCATTGAATGTTCACATTTAAGGGGCCGGAATGTTGCATACGATGTGGGGTATTATGACGTCAGAAGCGAAGTTTTGGTTATTTTGGGTTTAGCCATAGAGGGCAGTTGCGAATTTGTTAGGGAAACTAAAACACGTTGTTGCAGTTAGTTATCGGCACTGAAAGTGCACCATTTTTTGGTATTTTGACACAAGCCCAATGTTGTGAGTATTTATTTACCTCTGTTTATTGAAATATGATGACTATTGTTGTGTTTGATGCTATTGGTGATAAAAATGAAGAAATGCAAATAGTGTAAAATTAAGTAAGAAAATTGTTACTCACGTACGTAAATTTACGTTGTGTGTGGGCATGCAGTTGTGTATAAAGTCATTGGGTTAGAATTAATTTCGGTAAACGTAAAGAAGACAGATATGAATATGACAGAAAAGTTGTATTATTATTAGTTTCAGTGGATTATGTTAGAAATGTATGTACAGTATAAGCTGTCCAATATTCAGTTGGTTTTTTGGATTAGTATGAAAGACAAAATGTTCTATAAAGAGTAGTTGACAGAAAGTAGGTCAGGTATGCCAGGGGTCATTATAGATTGGTAGTCTTTCGTGCAGCCTGTTATTAAGATTTAGGTTACCACTAATTATGCTTTGGTAATTAATAGTGAGTCAATAGGTTGTATCAAAGGAGCTATGAACTCATCTTAGCAGAAATATGTAAAGATATTTCCTAACTCATATTATGCCATTTATTTACAGTTATTTACAAACCTGTTTATTATTTGACTGGATAAGATAAACAAATGTTGGATAGATTATTTGATTGTCATATCAGCTATGCTAAGTAGCATATTGGATGCATTATTCTAGTAATGCTTATGATTGTGTTTTTTATCTTTTATTAAAGGTTGAACCTTGCACCTGCCAGTTTGGAGTCTTGGTATCACAAAAGGGTGTCGCTGTGTTATTCATTCGTCAATGGTGTCTTTTGGTTAAGTGAATTAATCGTCAATCGTCAATCGTCAATCACAACTGTACAAGGGATATAAGAAACATCAGTATCAGAGTTACCAAGTATCACGCATTTTGAGGGTCTGAAAATGCTCTTTCGCACGACGGGCGCGCTAGATTTTGAAAAAACGCTATACCTTATACGTATGTTGTACCCTCGCACACGCGCTCCGCACGCCGAATCATGAAAATGTCACGCATTGCCGATGTTTGAACTTGGCGTCTCTGCAGTATTATTCCACATGACTTGAGAAGAAAAAAATTGGTTACCTAAAAGAAGGGTATGAATTTATAAGCCAATGGACTAAATCAATGCATGATTAACTCAGCATACCAAGCATACAGTGAAGCTACTAAGCAACTTGACCAGACTCGCGAGCACCAATGCTGAAGCGCGCCTATAATATTCAAATTCAGGGTGAAGCAAGCATATGTTCACATCCCAATTTAAAGACTCCGGACTTGAAAACACAAACGCCAACGGTACAACTCGCAATGGACCAGGCAGGATCCCAGCTAGTACTGTTTGAGGAGAATTACACTGTTTAGCCTCACGCAGCTGTTTAAAAAAAAAAAAGAGTTTAAAAAAAATAAATTAAAGGGATAGTTGAGTTCTGTTGCAGAGGGCGCTAAACAAAATAATTTTTTGTGAGATAATGGAAAACTGAGTGTCAAATTTGAAAGAACATAATATTTAAATGACAAAATCATCTATGTTTGATCAAAATCGGTTCACAGACGGCTGAAATATAACGATTTCTAATACTTGTGTACCACCACAAATATTAGATATTTTGAAAAATTTGAAAAAAACGTTGAAAAATACTTATATTACCCACAATTAGCAGACTCATGTATAGTTATTTTTAATTAAATAATTAATGAATGGTCAACGTGTTTTTTTTTTAAATTGGTATGATCATATTGGCTAAATTTCACACATTTTGGGGTCTAAAATTACCTTCATAGCAATTTTAGGTTCTAAAAGGGCACTATATTAGATAAGAATAAGAGCAATAACCATGCACTTTTTTTGTGTTATAGTCTACCCAATCATATCTGAATGAGCTTTTATGAGTAATTTTTTGAGACTCCCATGATCTTGTAGCAGTACACATCTTTGTCAAATTGTTATAAAGGAAGCCACTTGACAATTATTCTAATTATTTGTATCTCTCTGTGATTTATGGCTCCGCTCGGGAGGTAAGGAAAATGCAAAGGGTTATTAGGCATACCGCATAGTTTGGGAATCTGCTAACACGGGTAGAAAGGTATCAACACAGAAATAGAGGACCGTTTCATTATGCATCACCATGCTAATTTTGTCAGTATCAATAATATTCATACAGTTGTTTAGTTTGTCCTATCAATATACGTTTTGAGTTTTTGACCACTATCTTAGCTGGAGTGTTTAGGACTGATAACGGTAGGGGCCATCCGCCATGCATCAGAAGATTTAACATTGTTAAACGATGCCTTTCATCAATCTCTGTCGACTGTGACAACAAGCCTTGCACAATCGATCAATATACCTTTTGAGTTTTTGACCACTATCTTAGCTAACAGTTAAAGTGTTTACGTTAGGACTTATAACGGTAGGGGCCATCCGCCATGCATCAGCAGATTTAACATTGTTAAACGATGCCTTTCATCAATCTCTGTCGACTGCGACAACAAGCCTTGGCCCTAACTCCGGGAAGCTCCAACACCGGCGCCGGTGTTGGAGCTTCCCGGAGTTACCTTGGCCCTTGCTCGATCACTGCCACTCCAATTAGTGCATAATAACGGAATTCAACTGGGAGCTAGAAAATAAAAAAAAACTAACATGCACATACTTACATATGTGGGGCTCACTGTCTTTTGGTATATATTGATGGAGGCGGTGCCGTGCTCATGTACTACACTAGTTCAGATTCTGGCCTATTTAATTTTGATCTCACCATACACACCACCAACGTAACGCTACCTCTCCCTACTTACTTGCTACCAGCCGATGATGGCGTGATCATTAAATTAGAACGCCCGGTCGCGTTATTTTTTTATGCGGCACAGATTGGGGCATGGTGCGTGTTAAACCTATGGGAAGTACGTTCTTTCCCTTCTGAATAGTGTCTGCACGCCGAGACTAGTCATGTTTCAACTTTCGACGAATCGACACACGTACATCATGACATGCACGCTGTCGAGGGTCGCGGAGAATTGCGCCACTTTTCGAAGTCAATAGGCCTGTTTACTAATGTATTCACGGACCTTTAAATTTGCACACGGTTGTAAGCTCTGGCAAACAAACCGAGCGCAGTGTCTGCTACGGCCCTGCTACACACACTTTGTATACGGCGATGTGGGGAATGCGAGGAAAAAAAGGCTGATCATCGTCCTAATAAACTTCGTTTAAAACTGTTTGTTTTCCAACCTTAATTTTTTAGGGTATATAATTAAAATAAATATAGTTTTTCTCAGTTGTACATGACAAATCTTCGATTTTATTTTCCGAAATCCGACGAAATATCGCAAAAATGGGAGGTAAGCATTGCTGTTACGGCACGTGTAACAGCGATTCACGGTACGCAGACAGACCCCATATGAATGGTGTGTTTTTCATCCCGTTCCCCAAACCAAAGACGAACCTGGAGAAGTGTAAAATATGGATTAAGAATTGTGGAAGAAAGGACTTTGGAATCGACATATTATATGCTTTGAGTTTCTTTCTGTCGTAGTCAGTTCTATTTACTATCAGGTAGTTGAAAATGTCGTATAATCCGAAATCTGGTATACTTTCAAAGTTCTCGGTGTAGCCGGTGATTTTCATTGGGTCGTCGAACGAGCACCCCGCACGCTCCAACTTCTCCCGCAGCGACCGTGCGGAGTCGAAGCTCGCAAGGTCCGGGTCTTGGGGCAAAGCGATATCGGCCACAGCAGTCGCAAGTTGAACTAGTTTCTGTTTGTTGTACCCTGATGTCGTAACTCCTCTCTTTCTTAAATAATCGGTGAGCTCCTTCACTGTCCACTGCGAAAACGGCTTGCTGGAACTACAACTCGATGTCGAAGGCGATGCCATTGTAGAAATTAGGGTGAAAAAACGTCGCGGTCGCTAGCAATGGCTTTGTATGTGTATAGCATAGCGGGCATGGAAAAACAATGTGGCGACCGTGCCGCACCACGCAAAGCTTGCCCTACGTAGTAACAATCGCTAGGGTGCGAGGGATTATGACGTCACTCGCATATCATTAGTAAACAGGCCTATTGCGCTGCCGCTCTATCGCTATACGCATAGCACTGCGAAGAAGTTTGAATATCCATCGCGAACTATGTCATGATGTGTTTGGATAACGTTCCTCTTCGTTTAAGGGTAAGTTTTATTGACTAATTATTGTGATATTCTCCTTATTGACGTGCTGCCTTCTCTTCAGATTTCCAATTTCATTTTAATTGTTGATGTAATGATTTTCCATACGGTACGTGGATTACATGTAACACTATTAAAACAGACTCTAGCCTAGTCTAGGCCTAACTAAGTTAGAGTAGGCCTACTACTAGCAGCTAGCGTGAGGGTGGCACACATCAATGCCAATGAATGGGGTTTTGTAATAACGGCACTCAAAGAATTATGCCGACACTTCATCCCAAATTGTCCGTTAATTAGCTAAACACTAGGCCCTAGGTGTAGTGTAACCTATTTTTGTTATAAATTTGTTCATAGGCCTAGCCCTAGGGCTAAGTTTATAGATTCATAATCAATATTTACTTCTTCATTTCTTGTCTGCGTTTGTGTGTGTTTGTAAATTGTAATCATTTTATTCTTTGACTTTTGCACATGCAGGCAATATTGCCAGACGATCTAGTTCAAGACATACATGTATGTTCCTTCGATGATGATGATGGTCCCAACTTTTCGGCAACCTTTCGCCTGAAGACGAAAACAATTGATAGTTGGCAGCAGTGGCTTTCGGCTTTTCAAGAGACTAAAGTCACATGGATGGAGGGTAAAAACAACCATGCCAGCATGTGGTCGATCTGTGATATTCAAGGTAGGACACCAACCATGTCCATTTCATTAGATTGAATTAATTATACTTTTTACCATTACCATCCTGTTGTATTTATTTATGTCTTACTATTCCTGAACAACAACTTTTTTGTTTTTTGTTTACTGTTCTTGCATTCTTTGATATGTTTAATGTCACTACATTGTTATTTATCTGTGACCAGTGAGCAACAAATTTCCATGTAATGGACAATAAGATAGATAGATAGATAGAAATGGTTAGTAAAAAGATCATCGCAGCCAATGGCTGAATTGCGATCCATTTCACAAGGTTATATACAATACAATTGCAATTCAAATTGAAATAACACAAGATATGACATAAATCAATAATCAAACATATAGACATTTCATAAAAATTCATTGATTGTATTCATTTTTGTTAAAAAAAGAAAGAGATAGGGAGAGGTGTAGGAGAGGGAGAGTTGGAGTGATGACAAAGAGAGAGGAGAAAAAGAGAGAAAGGAAGAGAGAGAAGGGGGACGAAAGAGAGAGACGGAAAGAGAGAGAGAGAGAGTGAGAGTTGAAGAGAGGAAGAGACAGACGAAGGGTACCCTATCATTACAGATGAGGGGAGATGGCAAGAAATGTTCAGTAATGCAGAAAATTGAGATAAAAACTATCAAAATTCATTCACATAGTTCAATCATGGACTGTGAAATTCTAAAAATACAATTTATATATAAGTAAAAGGTCAACTATAGGCAATCCATACTTCTTAAGGCAACAAAACATAAACAACTTCCTATTACACCTTTTTGTGAGATCGGATACATGACTATCCCACTTTAGGTTTGATTGTAAAATTATTATTAAATCAATTCAGTTCAATTTATTAAATTCATTTTTGTCAAATATTATGAACTTAAATGTTATGTTTTATGTTGTATGTTATGTGATATAGGTTATGTGTAATATGTTATTTAAATACTGTTGTGTCAAATACTTATAATATTGTAAAAAGGTTATTGTAATTGATTGTCTTGGTTATTGAAAATGAAATGTAATTGTAAAGCTAATGGAAACAAATGCTTCTTTTTTCATGTTTCACTTGTCCTGTGTATCTTTCGATATGAAGTCATTTTTTGTATTAGCGATTGCATAAATTTTGTATTTTTATTTTGACTCTTCAGAAACAGTACAGATGCCAGCACGGGCAACAAAGAAACAAACAGTACTCACATTTCCACCCAAAAAACACAAATTGTGTATCAACTATGACAGTGACCATCAGGAAAACCGAATATTCAAGGAAAAGGCAGAGCAGGTGGGTAAAACTCTAGCATTGCATATTCATTTTTACAGAGGGTCTAATTACAATGATTATCCTGTTTAATATCAATATATGACTGATTCAGTTCTATTTTATCAGTCGGAGGGGGTGGGGTGTAAAATCTTGCCTTCAGGGTGCCGTTGCATAAAACTTGCTATTATAGAAACTTTTCATGGAATACTGGATTTTGATTGGCTCTTGAGCAACGTTACCATGGTAGTTACCATTGAATCATACCTAAATGAAAGCATACCTAAATCATACCTCAATGAAAGCCCTACATAAAGTCTGTGTGGGAAAAAGCAACAAACTTAATATTTGATTTAATAAATTGATTTGTTTCTGATTTTTTCCAGCAATGAGTATTACAATACTGTAGTGGACAAATTTACCTTTAATATTAATTCTGCGAAAAGGGATTAAAAAACTTTTTAACAGAGAGTGGGATGTTTATTGAGAAGTGAATACCGGTAAGCTATCTGACCATATCTGACTATACATTACCATTCTATACTTTAAAAAAAATGGGGAAAAAATGAAAATAAAAAATAAACATTCTATGCTAATGACTACCATTTTTTTTCTTCTTTTCTTTTCATTTTTTTTCTCTTTTTTTTCTTCTGCATACAGGAGTTTAGATACCCACATGCCGGAATGGCCAACTCAAGTGGTGATAGCCTGGAACCACAACCATGTATTGGACATCCCCGCCTCACTCAAATACAGGGATGTGGGTGAGGATGCAGTGAAGAACCTTCAAGAACTGTTCGAGCAGGGGCATTCTCCACAAACCGCTCTCACCATATTGCATAGTGATATGCAAGTTGATGACCCCGAGGGATATATCACAAAATCTGCCGACAGGGCTGTGTGTCCAGACCTTCAATTTTGTTATAGGTAAACAATTTTTCCTATCATCATCATCATCATTACCATTCATTATTAAATGTTACCATTAATGATAACGCAGTTGATAAAATATCTGATTTAAAATGTATAATACAAATAAAAAGGAATAAATATTTCTCTTTGCTCAAATTTATTTCAAAATGTTTGTTCCAGTTGTAATTCCATTTAATTTCAAATGTCAAATACATTCAATTAAGACCAAGTATTGCACATAACGGCACACAGTGGAGGTGCCTTGGTCAAGTGGTCTAAGGCCCTTGACTGGAGATGCGAGAATCAGGGTTCTCTCCCTGGCATGGCACTTGATTTAACTCAAATACTCAAGTAAATAAAATTACAATTATTGCAGGTTCTCTGTGACACTGTTGTACAGAAGTTGATATGTCCAAGGATACTATCTGGCTCATGACATATATTGAAATGCTTCCTGATGGTCTTTCCTTATCGGTTGCCTGAGAAATTTGGAATAATGAATGATATGTGAGTTTGTGTATTGTGTTTTTTTCTACACTGCAGACTATACTACCACATTTTTAAACAAAAATATGGAGCTGGGAATGGACAAGAGATGATTGATGCCATTGAAGAGAGAGTGTTCGCCCCATACAACGCTGAGATGGGAATGAAGTGTGTGTCTATGACCAAAGAAGATGACCACATCATCATAGCCATTTGCACACCAATGATGAGGAGGGTGCACACAACAAGACAGAGTGGAGAGATGGTGTTCATAGATTCAACAGGTATTTTAGGCCTAGTATTATTATTACAATGATATGCTTACAAGTAATTTGAAAAGTAAGATATATTCTTTTGCCGACATGTAACCTTTTTAGGTGGCTTTGATCTTCATGACTCCAGCCAAATTGTAACAGAATATGGTAAAAAAAATTCTTTCCAAATTGACTTGAATTGCAATGGAAATCAACATTAATTTTTTCTCACTGGATGTAAAGTGGAATAAATGAGGTATACATAATTATGTATTATTATTATTATTAATAATGTAGTGAACAAAATACAATACAGTAAATCCTAACAGTCAATAGTGGGTCTGGCTTATCATGCTTATGAAAAATGGATACCTCTTGCGAGGTTGGATGCTTTATTACAATCACCATTTCATACTTAGTGTCAGTGGTCATTATCTATAGAGCCTGCTGGAGAAAGATCTCATCTTGTGCAAACTTGGCCCACATTATACATGTAATACTATAACTCTAATGCAATTCATGCAGTACAAAATTGTTGATCATGTTATGTGGGTCTGTACATTAACTGTTGTAATGACTTCAGAACTCATTTTGCAGGTAATATTGATCGCCATGGTAGCCGATTATTCATACTCTTGACACACAACAGTGCTGGTGGTCTACCTCTGGGTATTATGATAACGTCATGTGAACAGCAGAGTGTGATAGAGAAGGGTTTGAACCTTCTCACTGAGGTGATGCCTCCTGATTGCTTCAATGGTAGAGGAGCTGCTGGGCCGAACATCTTCATCACCGATGATTGCACAGCTGAGCGGACAGCACTGCGGAATGTCTACCCCTCCTCCACCTTGCTGTTGTGCATATTCCACGTCCTTCAAGCAGCATGGCGCTGGTTGTGGGATAGCAAGCATGGAATTCCCAAAGGTTCAAGACAACCCTTGTTCCAGAACATCAAGCGCATAATGTATGCATCTACCCCCGAAGAAGCTGCCACAATACACTCAGATGCTTCTGAAGACCCTCTTACATTAAGGTATTACAGTTTGACTTCAAATATTGGCCTAATCATAATCCATGGAAATAATAGAAACAAAATATATGTAAGCAGAAGTGATCTGATTGTATTTCAATGAAACCATGATGCATTATATGATGTAGTGATGAATTTATTAGATTTCAGATTTTTTGGAGTAAAGAGGTGAAAGGTCACACATCTGTTTTAATATAATTTCAGCTAATTACAGTGACAAACTGCAAACTTATATGATATTTCAGCCAAATTCGGGGCACTTGTATACTATGATGCAACAAAAAAACTGATTGAGACTAAGGTCTGTTATATCTTAGGAACCTTTATCATGAGATTGAGTAAATTCATGCATAAGGCATACATTTGCCTGTACAGTGCAACATTTTTCATACCAATAGAAACTGTCAGAACACATTTGAAATGGACATTAGAATTGCACACACAACAGTGCCTTAATTGTTTGTAAATTTGCTCATTCATCTTCTAATTTCATTGTCTACAGATATCCGAAGTACCTAGAATACCTGAACGCATTGTATGAGAGGCGAGCCTTTTGGGCACTGTCATTCCGATCATCCCTTCTTGTCCGCGGAAACAATACGAATAATTACGCGGAAGCTGCGATGAGGGTGCTAAAAGATAACATTCTTCACAGGACCAAAGCCTTCAACATCCCTCAACTAGTGCACTTCATCTTGTCTCGCCTTGGACCGCATTATCAGAGAAAACTTGTTGCTGTTGCAAACCAGAGACCCATGATATCTACTCGAATGAAGCCTACAAGCTGCAAAAAGGAAGATATCTCAAAGGTATAAAGTTATATACTTTGGCATGATATCAAAGTTGTTGATTTTGTACCTGCACCTTGAATGGCATAAGATTTGATCCAAAAATTCAAAATTGTGATTTATATGTTGTAAACTTTTAGAAATATAAACGATAAATCATTTGAAAAATTGGGCCATTAATCACATTATATTTTGTAATATTAATGTAATTTTCAAATACTGGCATGCAGTAGCTTTTATGTTCTAATTTTGAATTTGGTAGACTCCAACCGTATCACAGATTGCTTTACAATTATCTAACTGCACTGGTGTGAGTTTTTGACCTTGTACGCTTTGATCAGCAGGTATTCATTTTCAAAAGGTGATAAATGAATTACACCTGGTAGTCAGACTATTTTTATGAGTTGTATAAAAATCAAATTCAGTGAGCAAGGCGTCGCAGTATTGCATGTTGCATTAATGATTTATGTGAATCTTTACATTATAAATGATTTTAGATTATTTGGTCAATAAGTTCATGTCAGGGTGTGCAAATAATGGACACAATTATTTACAAAATGATTGCTTGATCCTTCCAAGTGCTAATTTCATGCTACTTTTGCACATTTTTAATATCACTTCAGACTGGAGAGATGACATATGAAGTGAAAAGTAGTGATGGCTCCAGTTCCTATTGTGTGGATATGAGTGTGGGAGTGTGTTCCTGCCCTGCTGGCGTAACTGGAGATGCGTGCAAACACCAAGCTGCCATTCACTACCATCTCAAGGTTGCAAGTGATAATTTCCTACCCAGTACACCAGAAGAGCGAGCTATCATGCTTAACATAGCAACTGGAGGTGAGTTTTTTTTTAATGTGAAATTTATAGTACTCATGCATGTAATGAAGCTACTTTCCCCTTTGTTATAACTTGTTGAACTATAAGAGGATTATAACACACATTTTCCATACAGGGAGCCAAACATGCAAGCCTATATACCTTAATTAGGCTTTCATCGAAAGGGTGCGCGGCGCGGTGTGGTGTGCTCAACGCACCCATTCGATAAAAGAGGAGGGGGGGGGGGGGGGGGGCTTTTCTGGAAAGGGTGCGTTGAGAGCGGAGTACCGTTTTAACACACCCTTTCGATAAAAGCGGGGGGGGGGGGGGGGGGGCTTTTCTCGAAAGGGTGCGTCGACTAGTCTTTCGCATCAGTCGTTTAAAATGAGGATCTGGGTCAGAAGGTAATGGAATGGTCTTGATTACAGATCGAGTGGTCTCTTTCGTTATTACTATGTTGATGGGGGAGACAGAGAGAAGGGAAAGGGAAAGGGAAGATAAAAGGAAAGAAAGAAGAATAAGAAGAAAAGAGGGAAACGGGGGGGGGGGGGGGGCGAAGGGCTCTTGCCTCCTCCTCCCCCCCCCCCCCCCCCGCCAAAAAATAAATAAGAGAGAGAGAGAGAAGGGAAAGGGAAAGAGAAGATAAAAGGAAAGGAAGAAGAATAAGAAAAGAGGGGCTCTTGCCTCCCCCCCCCCCGCCAAAAAAATAAATAAGAGAGAGAGAGAGAGAGAGAAGGGAAAGGGAAAGGGAATAAAAAAGGAAAGGAAGAAGAATAAGAAAAGAGGGGCTCTTGCCTCCCCCCCCCCCCCCCCGCCAAACAAATAAATAAGAGAGAGAGAGAGAAGGAAAGGGAAAGAGAAGATAAAAGGAAAGAAAGAAGAGGAAGAAGAAGAAAAGAGGGAAACGGGGGCAAAGGGCTCTTGCCTCCTTTCTTTTCTTTCTTTTCCTTTCTTTCCTATTCTCCCTCTTTTTTGTTTTTGTTTTTCTTTCTTTTCTTTCCCTTTCCCTCTCTTTTTTCCCCTCTCCCTTTTCTCTTTTTTCCCGACGGCAGCGCAATTTTACCAACAATATCCTGACAAATGTCGCACCCCCACACCCCCTTTTGGAGACGCCCCTACCTACGCCACTGTTGGCGACCACAAGGCTATCAATACAAATTAAGACATATTAATGAAGATTCTTTTTTAATGTTGCAGAGAGTATTTTCTCTATGAACTTGTTTAATGGAAGGACAATAAATAATATTAAAAACATGATTACTATAGCGGTATAATGATGAGAGAGATGATTTAAGTCATACTTTTTTTAATATCTCTTATTTATTTTTTGGCGGGGGGTGGGAGGGAGGAGGCAAGAGCCCTTCACCCTTCCCACGTTTCCCTCTTTCCTTCTTATTCCTCTTCTTTCTTTTCTTTTATATTTTCTTTCCCTTTCCCTTCTCTCTCTCTCTCTTATTTATTTTTGGCGGGGGGGGGGGGAGGCAAGAGCCCTTCGCCCTTCCCCCGTTTCCCTCTTTACTTCTTATTCCTCTTCTTTCTTTCCCTTTCCCTTCTCTCTCTCTCTTATTTATTTTCTGGCGGGGGGGGGGGGGGGGGTGAGGAGGAGGCAAGAGCCCTCCCCCCCCCCCCCCCCGTTTCCCTCTTTTCTTCTTATTCTTCTTTCTTTCCTTTTATCTTCCCTTTCCCTTTCCCCCTTTCCCTTCTCTCTGTCTCCCCCATTAACATAGTAATAACGAAAGAGACCACTCAATCTGTAATCAAGACCATTCCATTTTATTTAATACATTTCCGATTTACTTAAATTGGCAACTATTACCTTCTGTCCCAGATCCTCATTTTAAACGACTGATGCGAAAGACTAGTCGACGCACCCTTCGAGAAAAGCCTCCCCGCTTTTATCGAAAGGGTGTGTTAAAACGGTACTCCGCTCTCAACGCATCCTTTCGAGAAAAGCCCCCCCCCCCCTCTTTTATCGAATGGGTGCGTTGAGCACACCACACCGCGCCGCACCGCACCCTTTCGATGAAAGCCCTACCATTATGCTCGAATTATAACTTGATCAGTAATTATGTTTATGTAAAGTTCTTGTATTGTACCTCTACATTGTTTCTTTCCTTCCTTCCATCTCTTTTTCTTTCTTTATTTGACTTGCTTGTTTTTTTTTTAAAATCCCTCTATTCAATATTTGTTTTTGATCTTCTTCTTTCTTTTTCTTTTGTCTTCTTTTTTTTTTGGTCTTTTTCTTTTCCCTTCTTTTTTCTTTCTTCCTTCTTTCTTCTTCCCTTTTTTTTCTTCTTCTTCCTTCCCTCTTCATTCCATCATTGTTGTTTTTCTTTTCCTTCTTTTTCTTCTTCTTCTTCTTCTTCTTCTTCTTCTTCTTCTTCTTCTTCTTCTTCTTCTTCTTCTTCTTTTTAGGTTTATATATATATATATATATATATTTAGAAGTATTTGTTTCTGTTTCATGAAATATAACAAGAACCATTAATTTGTTTGATTATAGGTGATGCTGCTGCCCTACCACATAACTGGCTAGGTGCACTTCAAGACGATGGTATTGCTCCCCTTGAGGTTGAGGAAACAACTGACCAGCCAGATGAACAACTGGAAGAAAGACCACAGAGAGACTCCCTTGAGGTTGAGGAAACCACTGACCAGCCAGATGAACATCTGGAAGAACCTATTTCCTCACAAGGTTAGTTTTCTGTTGCATTTAATGAAATAGTAGTTGTCAAAATTGTTCCAAGTAATTAACTAATGTCTAAGGAAGGAATGATTCAATTTTGAGTTCATATCTAGATTTTAAGTATATTGTCATTGTTAAGATTTCACTCATTTTCTGGAAAAATGACAGTGACTAGATGGAAGCAGTATGTCTTTTATTCATTTATGTATTAATTTCTTCATGCCTTCCCTAATCTTCGTAATTTATTTTATTTATTTTTTTGGAGGGGGGAGGGGGAAGTAGGTAGTTATAATACTCCATCTGTACACAATTAGTTACCTCTTGATGCATGCCCCTAGACAGTACACTTACTCTCCCTCCCATATTAGCAACATATTGACTCGTTCCCAGATGAATCACCTCTAAAAACTATACCTTCCCTACAAATTTATTTGATGAACATCCCTGAAAAAAAATCAGTTACATGCATTTTTTCCTTATCCCTAGGTAGTTGTCAGCTGGAAAATATATAGGAAAGATCTGGACATAAATCCCTACACTGTTTATACATTCTGTTTGATAAAGAACCAGTACAGCTGTCCCCATCCCATAAGCATGTAGTTTATTTGGGTTTGTTCTCCCATTTTGATTTCTTCAAAAGACACAAAGTGGATGAAGATAGTCATATGAAGTTACTGTAAGAAATGGGATAAATTTGCACTTTCCTTTTTGCCTGTATTGAAAGGAGGTAGTTGTTCTGGGGGGAGGGGGGCAGGGGAGGGTAATTGATGCATGTTGTAACAAAATAATCTGATTATCATCATTTTCATTTTTCCACAGATGGTGACACGTCACAAGAATGTGCAAATCTGGCAGTGATGTTCGACACACTGAAGAGAAAGCTGGAAAATAATCCAGAGACATTCAAGGAGCCAGTCAATGCCATGTACCATACTTTCCAAAAGATGACTGATAATAATATGGTGTCAGCCATGTTCATGTTTGGAAAGTATGGGACAACTAACTTGGCTCCCCGCAGGTTCCTTGGTTCATCATTAGGATCACACGGACCAAACATTGGTGTACAACCAACTGCGATTGCACGACGGAAAGCTGCAATGGGGGGAAGGAGACGTCTGACATCTGGCAGACCAACCAAAGATGCTGCTGTAGCTGAACATGGCTACTCTAGGACGAGGTCAGAGCGTGTGCTGGGCGTGCATCAAACAAAGAGATCCAGAGTTGCCGCTCCTCACTCGCTGAGTCATGCTACAAGCATGAATGTAGCTTTGGGGAAAACGCACAGTGCGCAATAAAAGTGTAATTGGCAAATTAAGTACACTCAACTAAAAAAAGAAGAAAGTAAATTCACTTTCCCATTCAGATTTTTTACAGAAGCTTCAATGAAAATTCAATGCAGCATTATAGCATGTATCAAATTAAAGGAAATGTTATGGCCATTTAAGCTAGTAGGTGAACCAAAAGAAAAACTTTAGGAATGAGTGAGCACATTTGATTGATTATTTTTTCTTCCAAGGTACAAAAGTAAAAATTGCAAAAATTGACAGTTTGTCATTCATTGTAAATGCCCTTCTACAACAGTGGGAACGATAGATCAAACTTACACATTGAGAAACTTGGCTAAAATCACACAATTGAGCCTTTATTCTCTGTTTCTACTTCCAACCCCCCCCCCCCCCCTTACCCTACAGCCTGCCCCTCCCCTCACCATTAAAAAGAACAGAAAAAAGAGAGAAGCTTTTGCTATATCCAAATTTCAAATATGTTTTTAATGCTACTTGTAAGTGGGTCCAATGGTCTCGTTACCAAAATGTTTGTGGACAGTGTTAAATGCAACATATTCCCTACATGTTCATTTTATTTTATTCCCACAGTGTGTACTTGGGTTAATTATGAAAATTTGATTTTCCTCCTGTCATGCTTTAAGATAGACCTGTGATATATTATTAATGCTCTGACAATTTGAAATGATTTTATTTCTGAGAAATTGTAACTATGAATTGTCATAGTAAAATATGGGTCAGGCCACATTATAAATAACAATACAGGTATGACATTGAAAGATTGATGAAAAAATTATGTGATGGCCCCAAACTACTCTGTATAACTGGCTTTAAATCTCCATCTGTTCAGTTACCAGTTGCATCAAAACGTTGGAATTGATAAGATTACCATTATTTGCATATTTTCATGAATTTAAAGTGAGGCTTTAAAAATCTGTGCACTCAGTAATTTTAAAATGCCTACACAGCTGTAAAGTTTTAAAACTTGCCACTAAGTATTCTAATGTGTAATAATTGTTATGCCTCCGTTACGAAGTAGCAGGAGGCATTATGTTTTCGGTTTGTCCGTCCATCCGTACGTCCCATTCTCGTGATCGCGTTATCTGAAGAACCGATTGATGGATTCCTGCCAAACTTTGGTCATGTATGTATCTTGCAGAGCCGATGAACTGATTAGATTTCGGGGTCACAACGCCAAAGGTCAAAGGTCACAGGGCTCATTATGTATGCAAAAACAGCTCGTGATCGCGTTATCTCAAGAACCGATTGATTGATTCCTGCCAAACTTGGGTCATGTATGTTACTTGCAGAGCTGATGAACTGATCAGATTTTAGGGTCATGAGGTCAAGGTCAAAGGTTATGCGGCTCATTATGTATGCAAAAATAGCTTGTGATCGCATTATCATTAGAACAGATTGATGGATTCCTGCCAAACTTAGATCATGTATGTATCTTGCAGAGCCAATGAACTGAGTAGATTCTTGGGTCATGAGGTCAAAGGTCAAATGTCATGGGCTCATTATGTATGCAATAATAGCTTGTGAACGCACTCTCATTAGAACTGACAGATGGATTACTCTTTAACTCAGGACGTCTTGCAGAGCCAATGAACTGAGTAGATTTTAGAGTCATGAGGTCAAAGATTAAAGGGTCATATATGTATATGAGAAATTGCTTGTAATCACAATATTCTGAGAACCTGTTAATGGATTACAATGAAACTTAAATTTGACAAATTTCTTCTGTTTTGGTTTGTAAACTGCTATGACGGAGGCATCATTTTCGACTGCGCGCAGTCGAAGTTCCATCTAGTTAGACATACATGTATGACCTATCCTGAAACTATAAGGTTCATAAATGAACTTATTAATCACTTTTGTAAATGGTACGGCTTTTAGCGATTCATCCTTGTTTTAAATGAAACTTTTAGATATTCATCAACTTGACTCACAGTGTTTGTCAGATGAGCAAAAGAGCATACTTGTATGGGGTTGTTTCCTTAAGTGATCTGTATTATAAATCACAGCCTATATGATATCATTAACAGTCAAATCAGTTGGAATGTTTAAGACAAAATCTTAAAACTTCATACTGTTTGGTTTATAATTATTATTATTATTATTATTATTGATAATATTTGAAGTAGTAGTAGTAGTAGTAGTAATACCATTTTCATTATTATTATCAATATTATTGTTGATATCGTTCTTGTTATTACTGTTCTATTAATATTACAATTGTTCCTATATTTGTTTTTAAATTTTCTTAAATTACTTAATTCCTTTTTTATTTATTATTATTAATCGTATCAGACATCTGAGCGGGGCAATTTTTAAATGTTATTGCCCTCAAGGTTTAATTTGTATCATTTCTTCAAAATATAAGATCACTGCTAGCTATAGCCTTGCAATTTTGCAAATGGGGTTTGCATGGCACTCATTCGTGCGATTATACGAAGACATAATTAATGTCAGACAGTACAAGAACGACAATTAAAGGAAACACAAGAGTCAGATTTTTGTTATAGTGTTTTATGTCAATGAACAAGAGTGAGCATAAGAGAGAGAGAGAGAGAGAGAGAGAGAATGTGTGTATGTGTGTGAGCGAGAGAGGGAGAAAGATGGGGGTGGGGGGGGGGGGTGGGAGAGGAGTGGATGGATGGCGGTGGGGAACTTTTGCAAGGAGTAGTTGGGCATCATGCCATCTGAAAGACCATTAATTATTTTCCTTTTCCATGTGAAAAACGAAATAAACAAAACATTAGCCTAAACAAATTCTTGATAACATGAGCCCCTTCTGTTTTATAGGAAAGAATAAGACAATTAATAGTATTCATAACAGAATTTTTTTTATTTTTTTTTTTTTTATTGGACATTGTGCTGTCATAAAACATGAAATAATGAATTACATAGCTGTCTGATGATGAACCTTAATTTACATTTTTATAAGATCCAACCCATTGACAGAAATTCAATTACAGTATCGTTCAAAACGTTTATCAAACAAGTAATGCAGCATGGCCAACATGATGCATGATGTATTTGAAAGGTGTTGTGGAAAAGTCACACTATACTCAGGGATACCCTGCTATACTCTTGCATTACAGCCTTACAGGCATAACATATTTTGTAATACATACACACAACCAAAGCAATTAAAAAAGCATCGTGATATTGAAATACTGGTACACTGTTTAACATGTACTGTGTGTGCATGCGTGCAGCGCTACTTCATCACGCACACGACCACTATTAGTCTGTAAATCAAGACCCCTTTTTAAAAAAAGCCCCAATCTGTGCCGCATAAAAAAATAACGCCGCCCGGTCGCGCATATTTTTTTTACACAACTAGCTGTTTAGCCATTTTCGCCAAAAAATTCCAAGAAGTGCTCTGGTGATCTATTAAATACGTCAGCGCACTATATCGTTTTAAGCACATACACCCAGGGCCTAGGGAAGGGAGGATGATAGAAAAGGGAAAACAAGGATGGAGAGGATATGGAGAAGGAAAAATAAGGAAATACATAAGGAAAGAGAAGAGGATAAGTCAATGGAAGAACATAGAAATACATAACGGAAGAGCTAAGAGGATTATAGATCTGGACTAAAAAAAAACAAAGAAATACACAAAGAAAAGGAATCTATCAGATTGAAGGAAAAACAAAGAAATAGATGACAAGGAGAAAAGGATAGATTGAAGGAAAAGCAAAGACTACATAAGGAAGGAGAAAAGGATAGATTGAAGGGAAAAAAGAAATACATGACAAAAGAGAAGAGGATAGATAGGGGGTGCAGATACACACTGCACCTGCCGTCATTATATTCGTTTAGATTTATATCTCCCGGTTTATCTAGCTGTGTAGTAAAGAAGAACAACAACAAAAAAATAATGATGAAGAAGTAAACGAATAAATTAATAACATTTTAAGAAAGTGGTGGATTTGTTGAGTTGGATCGAGATGGAATTGATGATGATGGTGGTATAGTGGTGGTGGTGGTGGTGGTGGTGGTGGTGGTGGTGGTGGTGGTGCGGGTTGTATGGTACGTGATGGCGGTGGTGGCCGGTAGAAATATAGTGGTGATCATGGATCATTGTGGTGCTGGTGGTGGAGGTATGAGTCAGGGAGATGAGAGTAGCTATAGCTGGTCGAGGAAATTGTGGTGGTGGAATTAAATTGAATAGGTTGTGGATGAATTAAGTATTTGGTGGTGGTGTGGTGGTATATAGTGTGACGGCCTCGTTGTATTAAATTTAAAATCTTTGCCTTGCATTTAGGAGAGATCAACCTTTTCCACCCTTCTCGATCTGCAATTAGGTCTTGTTCATCCCATATTTGAATATGGCAATGTAATCTGACACTCTCGCTACGTGAAGGACGAAAAAATCATAGAGGAAGTGCAACAAGAGCAACAAAAATGGTACCAGAGATAAAACACCAAAGCCATCAGTGAGAGACTTGAAAGTTTGAAGTTTTTTTGTTCTTCTTTTTTTCTTCTTCAAATCTTCATAGTACATAATAACATGTTCGTATAGACATAGAATATACAATAAAATATAGTGTAAAAGTCAACTCATCAGTTCTAAAATTAGTTAACAAAATATTTGCCATTTCTTATTATGAAGATCGAGACGATTTTTTTAAAAGCAATTATACGTTCCATATTTTCTAAATGTTTGAGAGCTCGTTGAAAAGAAGGAAATAGTGGAATAACGTTTTGCACTTTACGAGTGAATATGAAATATTTTGCAAAAACAATAACTGTATTGACGAAATAGAAATTATTGGATATAAGAGTACCAACTACAATATTCTTCATCTGTGAACGAAACATTTCGTATATAGTCTTGTTAGCAATACAAATATAACATTTCAGAGAGATTACGGTACTTTTTCACAATTTACAAATAAATGAGCTAATGTCTGTTCATGCTTTTTACATAAAGTACACATTGAAGAAGTGCTCATACCTATCTTATAAAAATCTTTGTGTTGCAATTTTTCTATGAATAAGTTTAAATTGGAAATTTCTCATTTTATCATCTATGGATGACCTATAGTAACGTAAAACAGGATTTCCAAATTAGTGAATCGTCTAAATAATTTTGTAGATTCATTTGCCATTTATTCTGTTGATTTTTTTCTGAGATATGTGCTGAAAATTTGTTTAAGAAAATAATTTACGAAAATTTTGATATCTTTTTAGGTTTACGGAATTCGTTCAAAAGAGTATCAACGCTATTTAGAGAAGAACTTTCTTTTACAAAATGTCCCTGTCTCAGAATCTTTTCCAACTACTATATAGATAATGCGGAAGGAACTGAATAATATAAAATAAATGAACCTGACAGAAAATTAATTTGGCTTTGGATTTGATCAAAAGACATAAATGAACCAACAATGCGCAAAATATCCTTAACATATATCAGATCAGAATTAAAACATCTAATATTGAGAGATTGAAGGCCAAATAAATGGAATATCTTGACATAGGCATAGTAACCTTACAACTTGCAGTCTAATCATATTACATTTTTTTCAAAATTAATTTTCAAACCAGAAGCTTCTCTGAAGTCATTCAAGACTTTAACGCATCTACAAAAATTAATATTCGATTCATCAGGTTCAAGAAAAATGTCACCTGCATATCGATTTTTACCTCCTCATTTAA